AGTAGCTGGGACTACTGGTATGCACCACCATGGCCAACTAATTTTTGTATTTTTTGTAGAGACGGGGTTTTGCCACGTTGCCCAGGCTGGTCTTGAACTTCTGGGATCAAGCGATCCTCCTGCTTTGGCCTCCCAAAGCACTAGGATTACAGGCATGTATTAGTCTGTTCTCACACTGCTGTCAAGATCTATCTGAGATTGTGTAATTTATAAAGAAAAGAGGTGTAATTGACTCACCCTTCCACAGGCTGTACCAGGAGCATGGCTGAGGAGGCCTCAGGAAACTTACAATCATGGCGGAAGAGCAAATGGGAAGCAAGCATGTCTTCACCTGGCAGCAGCATAGAGAGCAAAGGGGGAAATGCTACATGCTTTCAAACAACCAGATCTTGTAAGGACTCATTATATGAGAACAGCAAGGGAGAAATCTGCCCCCATGATCCAATCACCTTCCAGCAGGTCCCTCCCTCAACATCGGGGATTACCATTCAACATTTTGAGATTTGGGTAGGGACATAGAGCCAAACTATATCAAGGCATGAGCCACTGAGCCCTGCCTACTGTAAGTTTTTTATACTGTACGTGAGGTGCTTTGACAGCACTTAAAGGTAGACTTTGATAAGTTAAAGATGTATTCTATAAAACAACCATTGAAATACAAATCCAAAGTTTTAGCTAAAAAGCCAATAAAGGAATGGCATCCTAAGAAATAATTAATGCCAGAAAAGCTGGCTGGGCGTGGTGGCTGATGCCTGTAATCCCAGCACTTTGGGAGGTCAAGGCAGGCAGATCACTTGAGCTCAGGAGTTTGAGACCAGCCTGGGCAACGTGGCAAAACCTTGTCTGTAATAAAAATACAAAAATTAGCCTGGCATGGTGGCGTGTGCCTGTGGTCCCAGCTACTCAGGAGGCTGAGGGGAGAATCACTTGAGCCTGAAAGTTTGAGGCTGCAGTGAGCCAGGATTGTGCCACTGCACTCCAGCCTGGGTGACAGAGCAAAATCCCATCTCAAGGAAAAAGAAAGAAAGCAAGCCAAAATTGGCAGAAAAAAAGTAAAAATGGAACAAAGAAGAGATGGGACAAATACAGCACAAATAGTAATATATTAAAACCTAAACATAACCATATCAATAATCACATTAAATTTAAATGTCTAAACACTCCCGATTAAAAGGCCAAGATTATTAAATTGTATTTTAAAAATGACTGAGCTGTATACTATATGAAAAAACAGCCGGGCGCGGTGGCTCAAGCCTGTAATCCCAGCACTTTGGGAGGCTGAGGCGGGTGGATCACGAGGTCGAGAGATCGAGACCATCCTGGTCAACATGGTGAAACCCCGTCTCTACTAAAAATACTAAAAATTAGCTGGGCATGGTGGCACGTGCCTGTAGTCCCAGCTACTCAGGAGGCTGAGGCAGGAGAATTGCCTGAACCCAGGAGGCGGAGGTTGCGGTGAGCCGAGATCGCGCCATTGCACTCCAGCCTGGGTAACAAGAGCGAAACTCCGTCTCAAAAAAAAAAAAAAAAAAAAAAAAAAAGAAAAAACAACTTTCCTTTTTTTTTTTTTTTGAAGTTGGAGGCTCCCTCTGTTGCCCAGGCTGGAGTGCAGTGGCACCATCTTGGCTCACTGCAACCTCCACCACCTGGGTTCAAGTGATTCTCCTGCCTCCACCTCCTGAGTAGCTGAGATTACAGGCGTGCACCACCACACCTGGCTAATTTTGGCACTTTTAGCAGAGACAGGATTTCACCATGTTGATCAGGCTGGTCTCCAACTCCTAACCTCAAGTAATCCACTTGCTTGAGCCTACCAAACTGCTGGGATTACAGGTTTCAGCCACCGAACCGGGCCTCAACTTTACGTTTTTGTTTTGTCTTTCCTGAAGGTGGGGTCTTGTTATGTTGCCCAGACTGGTCACAAAATCCTGAGCACAAGCGATGCTCCTGCCTCAGCCTCCCAAAGTGCTGGGATTAAAGGCATGAGGCAGCACTGCACTTGGCCTGAAATCCACTTTAAATATAAAGACAAAAATAGATTAAAAGTAAAAAGATGGAAAAAGATATACTATGTTAACACTAGCCAAAAAAAATCTGGAGGGGCTATATTAATATTAGACAATCTAAGTTTCAGCTAAAAAAGTTAGAAAAAGATTATTTTATAATGAAAAATAGGTCAATTCATTGAGCAGACATAGCAATCCTAATAAATGTTTATGCATTCAAAAACGGAGCTTCAAAATACATAAAGCAAGAAGAGAAAGAATTGGCAGAAGAAATTAACAAGTCACAATTTTAGCTGGAGATTTAACAAGCCGTACTCAGTAACTGATAGAACAAGTAGCAGAAAATCAAGCTATCAATTAATTAATCAAAATAATTATTTAAGATCAAGAAAATTAATCAATCAAAAATAATTGCTTAATCAAAAAATAATTATTTAAAATCAGGCCAGGCATGGTGGCTCATGCTTAAACTCCAGAACTTTGGGAGGCCAAGGCAGGTGGACCACTTGAGGTCAGGAGTTTGAGATCAGCCTGGCCAAAATGGTGAAACCACATCTCCACTAAAAACGTAAAAATTAGCTGGCTGTGGTGGCAGCTGCCTGTAATCTCAGCTAGCTGGGAGGCTGAGGCAGAATTGCTTGAACCTGAAAGACAGAGGTTTCAGTGAGCTGAGATTGTGCCACTGCACTCTATCCTGGGTGACAGAGTGAGACTCCATCTCAAAAAAAAATATATGTACTGTTATTTAAGATCAATAAAATTTCTAAATCTCTAGCCACACTGATCAGGAAAAAAAGAGAGAAGACACAAATTCCCAACTTCAGGCATAGAAGAGGTGACTCACTACAGCGTCCATAGACATTAAAAGAGTGATAAAGGGGGCTGGGCACGGTGGCTCAAGCCTGTAATGCCAGCACTTTGGGAGGCCGAGGCGGGTGGATCACGAGGTCAAGAGATCAAAACCATCCTGGTGGGGTCTTGCGTGCGGTCGCGGGGGCGTCGCTCTGCTCCCGGCGTGTGGGCGCCGGCCACGGCCTCTGCACAGGGATGAGCCGGGCTCGCGGCGGAGGCCATGGCCAGCACAATGGTAGCAGTTGGACTGACCACTGCAGCTGCAGGATTTGCAGGCCGTTATGTTTTGCAAGCCATGAAGCATATGGAGCCTCAAGTAAAACAAGTTTTTCAAAGTCTACCAAAATCTGCCTTCAGTGGTGGCTATTACAGAGGTGGGTTTGAACCCAAAATGACAAAAGGGGAAGCAGCATTAATACTAGGGGTAAGCCCTACTGCTGATAAAGGGAAAATAAGAGATGCTCATCGACGAATTATGCTTTTAAATCATCCTGACAAAGGAGGATCTCCTTATATAACAGCCAAAATCAATGAAGCTAAAGATCTACTAGAAGGTCAAGCTAAAAAATGAAGTAAATGTATCATGAATTTTAAGTACATATTACTTTATGTATATGAGTATTAACTTTTTATAATAAAATGCCTCAGAGTTACAGTTTAAAAACAAAACAAAACAAAAAACCATCCTGGTCAACATGGTGAAACCCTGTCTCTACTGAAAAAAAAAAATACAAAAAATTAGCTGGGCATAGTGGTGCGTGCCTGTAATCCCAGCTACTCAGGAGGCTGAGGCAGGAGAATTGCCTGAACCCAGGAGGCGGAGGTTGCGGTGAGCCGAGATTACGCCATTGCACTCCAGCCTGGGTAACAAGAGTGAGACTCCATCTCAAAAAAAACAAAAACAAAAACAAAAAACAGTGATAAAGGAAAACTGTAAATAATTTACCAATAAATTTGACAACTTAGATAAAGTGGACAAATTCCTTGAAAGACACAAAAGCTCACACAAGAAGAAATAGATAACTTAAGTAGCCATATGCCAATTAGACAAATTGAATTTGTATTTAGCCTTCCCACAAATAAAAACTAGGCCCAGATAGCTTCACTAGTGAATTCTATCAAATATTAAGAAATAAAAAAAACATTGTTTCTATACAAAATCTTTCCAGCTCATTCTCTGAGGCCGTAATTACCCTGATACTGAAACCAGATGACGACAAAACGGGGAGAAAACCCCACCACTTCTGACTAACATCTCTCACGAACACTGATGCAAATACCCTTCATTTATTTTAGTTAATAAAAGCCAATAATAAATTTGAAGGATAACATATCATCACGAGGTTTTATTATTCCAGGAATGCAGGTTGGTTTAACATTACAAAATTAATGTAATTCACCATATTAACAAACCAAAAAAAGGAAAATTAGATCATCTCAATAGACGCACAAAAAACATTTGACAGTTGGCAGCATTCATTACTTATAAAAACACTCAGTCGCTGGGTGTGGTAGCTTACACCTATAATCCCAGCACTTTGGAAGGCCAAGGTGGGAGGATCTCTTGAGGCTAGGAGTTCAAGACCAGCCTGGGCAACATAGGGAGATGCCCTCACCCCACCCTCATCTCCAAAGAATTTTTTTAAAAAGTTAGGCATGATGGCAACACACCTGAAGTCCCAGCTACTTAAGAGGCTGAGGAAGGAGGATTGCTTAAGCCAAGGAGTTGGAAGCTGCAGTGAGCTATGATTGTGTCACTGAGCTCCAGACTGGACAATGGAGTGAGACATCATTTAAAAAATTTTTATTATTAGTTTTGGAGACAGGGTCTCACTCTGTCATCCAGGCTGTAGTATGGTGGTGCAATCACATTCCAATGCAACCTTGACCTCCTAGGGTCAAGGTTGATCCTCCCACCTTAGCCTCCTGAGTAGCTGGGACTACAGGTGTGCACCACCATGCTTAGCCAAGTTTTAAAAATTTTTCGTAGAGGTGGGATTTCACCATATTGCCCATACTGGTCTCGAACTCCTTGGCTCAAGCAATCCACCCAACTTAGCCTCCTAAAATAGTGGGAATACAGGCATGAGCCACCATGCCTGGCCTGAGATCTTCTTTCTTAAAAATAACAAAAGCCAGCAAGTGCTGGCTTCGGCAGCACATATGCTAAAATCGGAATGACACAGAGAAGGCTATCGTGCCCCTGTGCACAGATGACACACGCATTTGCGAAGTGTTTCATGTTTTTAAAAAAAAATCAAACTAGGAAACTAGGAATAAAACTAGCAAACTAGGAATAAAATAAAATCAGCAAACTAGGAATAAAATAGAACTTCTCTCAACCTCATAAGGGGCATCTATAAGAATTTTACCGCTAACATCATACTTCTGGGATCAAGCTTAATGGTCCACTCTCATCACAGCTCCATGTACTGGAGATTCTGGTCAGTGGAATCAGGCAAGGAAAAAACAAAAAAGAAAGGCATCAAGATTAGAAAGGAAGAAAAGAAATGGTCTTTACTTACAAATGGCAAATTTGCTATGTTGAAAATTCAATTAGATCGACAAAGCTATTCACCAGAGGAACTAAGTTTGTAAGATACGAGTTCAATACACAAAAATGAGTTTTATTTCTCCATACTAGCAACAAACAAAAAACAGGTCAGGAGTTAAAGACCCGCCTGGCCAAGATGGTGAAGCCCCGTCTCTACTAAAAATACAAAAATTAGCCAGGTGTACTGGTGCACGCCTGTAGTCCCAGCTACTCGGGAGGCTGAGGCAGGAGACTCGCTTGAACCTGGGAGGTAGAGAATGAGCCGAGATCGCACCACTGCACTCTAGCCTGGGTGACAGAGAAGACCTCAAGACTCTGTCTCGAAAGAAAGAAAGAAAGAAAGAAAGAAAGAAAGAAAGAAAGAAAGAAAGAAAGAAGGAAGGAAGGAAGGAAAGAAAGAGAAAGAGAGAGAGAGAAAGAAAGAAAAAGGAAGGAAGGAAGGAAGGTAGAAAAAACATACATACGGATAGATACATAGATGCACATACACATACACAGACGAATAGGTAGACACATGATAGATAGGTAGATAGATAGATAGATAGATAGATAGATAAATTATGGGAATTCACTCACATGTTTATGGACGCTGAGAGGTTCCACAGTGTGCTGTCTGCAAACTGGAGAATGAGGGAGGTGGTAACGTAATTCATTCGGAGTCCAATTCCTGAACCAAGGAAGCTAATAGTATAACTCGTTAAGGCCAAAGGCCTGAGAAACTGAGAAAGTGGTGTAAGTCCCAGAGTCTGAAGGCCTGAGAACCTGGAGTTCTGATGTCCAAGGGTGGGAGAAGATGGATGTCCCAGCTCCAGAAGAGTGAATTCACCCTTCCTCTGCCTTTTTGTTCTATATGAGCCTAAACAAATTGAATGATGTCTGATATGGTTTGGCTGTGTCCCCACCCAAATCTCATCTTGAATTGTAGTTCCCATAATCCCCACATGACCTGGGAGGGAGCATGTGGAGATAATTGAATCATGGGGGTGGCTCCCCCATCCTGTTCTCATCATAGTGAGTTAGTGCTCATGAGATCTGATGGTGTTATAAGGGGCTTCCCCCTTCATTGGGCTCTCATTCTTCTCCTGATGCTGCTGTGTGAAGAAGGATGTATTTGCTACCCCTTTTCCACAGTGGTAAGTTTCCTGAGGCCTCCCCAGCCACACTGAACTGTGAGTCAACTAAACCTCTTTCCTTTATAAATTACCCAGTCTTGGTATGCCCTTATTAGCAGCGTGAGAACAGACTAATCCATTGCCCATCCGTGTTGGATGAGGGCAGACCTTCCTTATTCAGTTCAGTGATTCAGATGCCAACCTCCAGAAACACCCTCACAGACACACCCAGAAAGAAGACTTTCCCTGCTATCTGGATATCCATTAACCCAGTCACGTTGACAGCCAAAATTAACCATTACATAATGAAACCAAAAGTTGAAAAAAATCAACAGAATGGACAAATCTTTAGCTAGACTAACCAAAAAGAAAAAAGAAAAGAAAAGAAAAGAAAAATGCTCAGATGTGAAAGGACAAATACTGATTGATTCCATGGATATCACTCCACTCTGTCTAGAATGGGCAAATATTTGAAGACGAAAAGTAGAATAAAGGTTACCAGGAGCTGGGAGTGGAGGAAATGGAGAGTTATTGCCTAATGGGTAGAGAGCTTCAGTTGGGATGGTAGAAAAAGTACTCATTATACAACAAAGAAAACACTGTGAATGTATTTAATCCGCTGAATTGTACACTTCAAATGGTAAAAATGGTAAATTTTACCTGATGTGTATTTTTTTTTTTTGAGAGAGTTTCGCTCTTGTTACCCAGGCTGGAGTGCAATGGCATGATCTCGGCTCACCGCAACCTCTGCCTCCTGGGTTCAGGCAATTCTCCTGCCTCAGCCTCCTGAGTAGCTGGGATTACAGGCACGCGCCACCATGCCCAGCTAATTTTTTGTATTTTTAGTAGAGATGGGGTTTCACCATGTTGACCAGGTTGGTCTTGATCTCTCGACCTCGTGATCCACCCGCCTCGGCCTCCCAAAGTGCTGGGATTACAGGCTTGAGCCACCGCGCCCGGCCACCTGATGTGTATTTTACCACACTAATAATTTTAAAAGACTATAAAGTCTGTCTTGCTTAGTGACTCTTTGCTTTGCTGGCTTGGAAGAAGCAAGCTGCCCTGTCACGAGCTGCCTATGGGGTGAGCCACACGGCAAGGAAGTGGGTGCAGCCTCCAGCCTCCAAAAGCCAGTGAGAAGCTGAAACCCTCAGTCTGTGGTTGTGCAAGGAATTGAATGCTACTAACAACCACGTGAGCTTAGAAGCAGATCCTTCCCCAGGTGAGCCTCGGATGAGATGGCAGCCCTCGATGACACCTTGATGAAAGCTCCATGACACCCTGAATTAAAGACCCAGCTAAGCCATGCTCAGACTTCTGGCTCACAGAAACTGAGGTGATAAATGTGGGCTGTTTTGAATGATTAAATTTGTGGTAATATTCTGGAGCAGTAGGTAACTAATGCAAGCAATATTGTACTGTACTTCTCAGCAACTTTTCTTTTTCTTTGCTTATGTCTTGGAAAACCCCTAATTCTGTTACATGGAGTTCTAGCTCATTCTTCTGAACTGTTGTTTGGTACTTTGTATTAGCACCACTGTAGATGATTTAGAGCTTTTAAAACGTTTTGCCCTCCCAAATAATGATGTTCTCCTTGGCGCCTCCACGTGTGCTTCTACAGGGCAAAGACCAAGACGTGTGATTGCATCTTTAGGTGTTTTTTTGTTTTGTTTTTTGTTTTTTGTTTTTTTTAATTGAGACAAAGTTTTGCTCTGTCACCCAGGCTGGAGTGCAAGTGGCATGAGCTTGGCTTACTGCAGCCTCCACCTCCTGGGTTCAAGTGTTTCTCATGCCTCAGCCTCCAGAGTAGCTGGGACTACAGACACCCACCACCACGCCCAGCTAATTTTTTGTATTTTTAGTAGAGATGGAGTTTCACCGTGTTGGCCAGGCTGGTCTTGAACTCCTGACCTCAGGTAATCTGCCTGCCTCAGCCTCCTAAAGTGCTGGGATTACAGGCGTGAGTCACCATGCCTGGCCACATCTTTAGCTTTAATGCCGCTGCCAGTTGCCCTGCAGGGTGCCTGTGCTGAGTGAAGCTCCTGAGTGGGGCCTTAGAGCACCATTTTTCTGGCCCCGTGGTCTGCCTGTCACTGTCACTATCTGAATTCCCCGCTGTCACTCCTGGAAGGCAGGAAGCGCTTTCTTCACACCTTCGTGTCCCAGAGCTCAGCCCAGGGCCTGGCAGAGATCCCAAGCTGTGCACCTCCTTCCTTCTCTGTCCACTTCCTTCTCTGTCCACTTCCTTCTCTCCCCGACTTTTTGAGAAAATGTCTTCTCTGTCACCTAGGCTAGAGTGCAGTGGTGGGATCATAGTTCATTGCGGTCTCAACCTGCTGGGGCCAAGCCATCCTCCTGCCTTATCCTCCCGAGGAACTGGGACTACCACCATGCCTGGCTAGTTTTTATTTTTTGTAGGGACAGGGTCTTGCTGTGTTGCCCAGGCTGGTCTGAAATTCCTGGGCTCAAGCAATCCTTCTGCCTCCCACCCAAAGTGCTAGGTTTACAGGCTGAGCCACTGCACCTGGCTCACAACCCTCTCTGAAGAGCTGGGCTGTGACAGCTCTCTAGGGACAGCCTTGTGGCCACGGTGGACTGGATCACAGAGGACGCTGAGAGTTGGACAGGCAGCTTAAATGAGCGGCCGTTGGAGCCAAGGTTGCGGTCAGAGCCCCTTGGGGAAAGCAGCCCCTAAGAGTTTGGGGAGGTAGGTCTCTGCAGAGAGGAGAGCAGAGACGAGCAGAAAGCAGCCGGAAGGAGAGGAGCAGACACGCCCCCAGGAGGTCTGGCTCTCATTCTGTCTTTGCAGCAAATCCCCTTTCTTTGGGATGGCCTGAGGTTTCTGTACCTTGTAGCCAAAGTCTCCCTGAGGCAAAGAACTGCTTCGTGTTTACAGACTTGTTCCCTGGGCCTTTCAGAGCCCGAGCTGGGGTCTCCCGGAGATTCAGGAGAAAGGCCAGAGGCTGGGGTGGAGTCTTCCTTCTTCAGGCATTTCCATGTATAGGGCCCCGGGGCCTCACGCGCTGTGCCTACCCCCTTGGTGCCACCCCGTGGCTCTCTTTGCTCACCCGAATGTCTTCATGCTTGCTGTCCTCTGGCTGTGTCCTGTCCGAGTGGGCATCTCCACAGTCAGCAAAGTGGTACTAAGCCCCTCCTGTAGGCCCTGCCAAAAGACAGTGAGTAATTCCGTCCGGAGGCCAGGTTGCTCGGCAGGGCGTGCATCTTGTCTTCAATCAACATGTGCCCAGACCACGCGGCACCGGTGAAGTCAGGGTTCAGGAGCCAGGTGGGCTGGGCCCATCCCTTACCTGTGTGTGACCTTGGGCAAGACACCTACACTCCCTGTTGTCTATTTCCTCATCTGAAAGTGGGTATAGCACTAGTTCCCACCATGTGGAGAGCTGGTGAAGCCCTCTACCTGTCCTGCGGGGACCGTCCCTGAGCTTCAGACTCACGCCCAGAGTCTGCCTGGCGTCCAGCAGGCATCTCTGCCTTCACAGCCCACAGCAGAACTCTTGATTTCTGGCCCGCCTTCTCCCCAAATCCTACACCCCCTCATCAAGAGGCAGTATAGGCTGAGCG